GGTCTACGCCTGCTTTAGGGCCCAGGAGTGGGCCGGCAGAGCAGGTGTTGGGCCCAAATCAGGCCCCCTGAATGGCTGCCGATGTGTCGAGAATCTGAGAAAGCCACGGGGTCGGCGCTGAGAAAAGACACGGCCACAGCCGGCCCACGTGGGGCTCAGGTTATTGGGCTACAGGTCAATGATATATGTTTGAGGTCAGGCTAGACCCAAGTTACGGGACCTTCTGTCCTTGTGGGATCCTGGAGCCCAGGACCTAGTCGAAGCCCAACTGCCTACGCCACAACCTGGCAGCCCCATGAGCCCGAGTCAGCTGCACTGAGCCAGCGATGGGCTGGTTATTGTAGGGTAGACATGCCTTTGCAGAGCTTTGGAACCGGGATACCTGACCCAAGGAGTTTGTTGCACCCTCTAGACTAGACAAGGTTACAAGGCCACAGGGAATCAGCCCCAATGAACCAGGAAGGGAAGGGTTAATGATGACCCCGGTGGGATCTCAGGGGTTTACATGAAGTGAGTATGAGCAAAGTGAATCCCCACCTTTGGTGTAGCCTGCCCGGTGTTCCCTGTAACCTGGGCACTGGTGCGGCCACTCCGGAGAGATTCCAGTGCCACCCAGCTGATTAGCAGAGTGCCCACAGCTAGGTTTGTGTTTCTCCTGGTGGTGCACTTTTGCATATGCATTGGTGCACGTAATAAAATTTATTCTGCACGTGGATGGGAAAAAATCTGCACGTGGTTGGAAACGATTAGAGCAGACCTGGGCAAAATTAGGCCCGTGGGCCAGCCCCGGCCTGCCAAGCCACCAGAACCAGCCTGCGGATGCTGCAGGGAGCCCCAGGCAGGTTCCCCGCTTGCCTCGCCCCACTCAGAAACACGTCGGCGGGGCAGTTTTTCTTTAAAAGCTGTGAGCCTGGAGGGGAGGGGGTAAAACTTTAGGAGCTGCTCCTGCCCCCAGCACAACCCCATTGGCCAGTTTCATGGCTGCTGCCTGTGCAGGGGCAGGGCAGGCAGGGAAACTGATTCAGGAACCACTGCTGGCTGGTAAGTCTCCTGGCAGAGCCTGCCTCTGGCACTCCAGTCCCTCCAAAAGTCAGGGGGGGGGGGAAGGGAGGCTTTCTCTTTGTGTATAGCGTTCTGAGTTATCTTTTTGTAATGTTCCCTAGTGCATTTTAACCAATTAATGAGCAACATACTGGTGTGCTTTAGAATCATACCCCCATAACCATTGTGTAGACGAGCCTTTAATGTTCTCAACGGTTTACTGGATAAACACTGATTTCAACTTTCATATCAGCCTTTTTTATCGGGCTTATGAGTTAAAATAAAAAATCAGAAGAACTAATCATAGATGAGTTTGGTGTTTTACAAGACAGAAATTCCCTGTCCTAAATGATTTATAGACTAGAGCAAGTGGCAATGATGCCAGCACAGGGAGGGACTGGCTGAGGGAATGGCCAATATGGTTCTCTGTTCTCTTAGGCTATGTCTACACTGGCGGGTTCTTGCACAAGAACATCTTGCACAAGGGTTCTTGTGCAAGAACTTTTGCACAAGAACACGTCCACACTGCCAGGTGCTTTTACGCAAGAGCATCCATGGCAGTGTGGACGCTCTCTTGTGCAAGAAGGCTCTGATGGCCATTTTAGCCATAGGGCTTTCTTGCGCAAGAAACCCCTGCCGCCCATCCACACTGCCCTCTTGCACAAGAGGCCTTGCACTTGTTAGAAAAGAGCGTAGCTCTTGCGCAAGAAGCCCTCTGTTCCCACACCCTACTGTAAATCTTCTTGCGCAAGAGCGGGCGGGCAGTGTGGACGCTCTGCGGGTTCTTGCGCAAGAACGGCCGTTCTCGCCAGTGTAGACGTAGCCTTGGAGTGGCCCCCCCGTCAAAAATGATTGCCCACCCCTGGATTAGAGGGAACGTTGATCCTGACCCTTGGTCACAAGAGACGAAAATGTCAGGACCTGTCCCGTTGTCACAAGCCCCGCCCCCCACCGCACCCCGGAGGATAATCAAGCCCTCGCCTCGACCTGATTGCAACCCCCCGGGCTGAGAACCTGTGTACAGGCTCACGTGTTAACCACCGTGGTGAGAGCAGCAGAAATGGCTTTTGGAGAGAGCTGCCGAGTCCCGGAGGAGCAGCGCTAACGACAGGCGTCCATGGGGTTAGATTTGTCGTGGGCACGTGCTCTCAGCTCACGCAGGCGACGAAACTCTCGGGGCCCAGCCCTACTTCCCTTTCCCCCTGGGCAAGGCAGGTGCGCCATTCCCCTGGCCAGTGTAAACCAGCCCAAAGGATGCTCTGAGCAGGCTGCTGAGCAGGAGCGAGCCGTGTCGGCAGTGACTAGGGAAACCGTCCCAACGCCTTTGCCATCAGGGAACCCATTTACACCATTTCCCTGGAAAAGGCGGCGTTGACTGAGAGCAGAGGCTAGCCTCCCTCTCTCCCCCAAGATTAAGACAGCCAACAGCTGCTGTGCCGGGGGATCCTTGGCTGCCGTTTAACCTGGTTAACGTAACATGCCCAAGCATATCAAGTGACCAAACGCAGCGGAAGCAGTGACCTTCGCTCGCTGAGCCGGTAACAACACTCCCAGCGACGCCCTGGCTCTTTGACAGCAAGAGCCAAACCGCAGCGCATACACTTGGGCAGAGAGGAGCTGCCCGAGACGTTGCTGGCAGAAGGAACAGCAGAGTCGTAAGGGGCTGGTTGGTATTTGAAGATGGCGTATTGGGTGATAGGATCTGTAGGCAATATACTATCCTTTGTATTATGCTCATGCCAACAGGGTCTAGGCTAGGCACAGTCCAGACCTATAGTGACAGACAGTCCCTCCCCCAAGAAGATTACAACAAATAAAGGAGGGAAACTGAGGCACAGAGCAGGGGTGTGATTTGAGGATGTTCACACAGGTTATCAATGGCCGAGCCAGGATTGGCCTCCAGTCTACAGGTCTAACCACTAGACCATGCTCCTTCCTCTCAATATATCCCACTTCAGCTCAGAAATTAGCAGTGAATGACATCTTCTGTATAATTACCGGGACATAAGAACATAAGAACGGCCGTACTGGGTCAGACCAAAGGTCCATCTAGCCCAGTATCCTGTCTGCCGACAGTGTCCAGCACCAGGTGCCCCAAAGAGGGTGGACTGAAGACAATGATCAAGCGATTTGTCTCCTGCCATCCCTCTCCAGCCTCTGACAAACAGAGGCCAGGGACACCATTTTATCCCCTGGCTAATAGCCTTTTATAGACCTAACCTTCAGGAAATTATCTAGCTTCTCTTTAAACTCTGTTATAGTGCTAGCCTTCACAGCCTCCTCTGGCAAGGAGTTCCACAGGTTGACCACACGCTGTGTGAAGAAGAACTTTCTTTTATTAGTTTTAAACCTGCTACCCATTAATTTCATCTGGTGTCCTCTAGTTCTTCTATTATGGGAACTAATAAATAACTTTTCTTTATCCGCCCTCTCCACACCACTCATGATTGTATAGACCTCTATCATATCCCCCCTCAGTCTTCTCTTCTCTAAACTGAAAAGTCCATTGGACATGTTCAATATGTCTAGGGCCAAAAACTGATGTGCCCTTCTCATTCCCACATCTTGGGGAGGGCAGCCTCTCATTGCAGCCTTGCCTTGAAAGATGACACAGCCGTACTCGGGTTCACCACTTTGGTGGGGTGGAACATACCAAAAACCAATGTATGAGCACCCCCTGCTGGTTTTACTGCCACTGTGCACTAGCTAACACTCTCTCCAGAACTGTGACTGCTCCTGTGCGGCCAGGGTGGGGTCGCTGAGACTAGACTTGATTCTCTTCTCAGTCCATTGGTGCGGCTCCTGACGTCGACCTGGTTTGCACCAGGATAAGTGAAAGCAATCTCTGACCCAAGGAATTAAACCAAAGGAGATTACTCTGGCTTCGCTTTCCCAGCAATCAAACAGACTATAATGCTTTCCGAGAAAGAGGGCTAAAGCCAGCCAAAGGGTATTTGCACCCAATGGAGAGTCAATACAAATCAAGAGCTGTACAGAAAATGATGCATTGGCAATCCTTTCGCTAATGCATCGCTACATCTGTGGGCAGATCAGCCTGAGATACAGGGGGCTCCGGACAGTTCAGTCTGGCAGGTAATTCTGCACAGGTGGTTAAATTATACTTGAGAAATAAACTGCTTGGCCTGGGGGAGAAATTGCATCCCTGTAACAGCCAGTCACCTTGGGCGCAGAAAATCAGAGTGTGCTTCATTTCGCCTTGTGGTCCCTGAGCAATGAGCGTGCTTGGGTGACAGATTTTGCTCCAGCCCACTCCGATACCAGTCATGTGCTCTTCCCACAGTCAGAGCTCTGCAGTCCAGGGCTGTGTCTAGACTGGCCAGTTTTTCCAGAAACTCAGCCGCTTTTCCGGAAAAACTTGCCAGCTGTCTACACTGGCAGCTTGAATTTCCGCAAAAGCACTGACAATCTCATGTAAGATTGTCAGTGTTCTTGAGCAAATACTATGCTGCTCCCGTTCGGGCAAAAGTCCTTTTGCGCAAAACTTTTGCACAACAGGGCCAGTGTAGACAGCTAAGATTTGTTTTCCGCAAAAAAGCCCCGATTGTGAAAATGGCGATCGGGGCTTTTTTGTGGAAAAGCGCGTCTAGATTGGCACGGACGCTTTTCCACAAAAAGTGCTTTTGCGGAAAAGCATCCGTGCCAATCTAGATGCTCTGTTCCGAAAATGCTTTTAACAGAAAACTTTTCCGTTAAAAGCATTTCCAGAAAAATCATGCCAGTCTAGACGTAGCCCAGTTGTTTAACTCTTGCCTACGATGCTCTGTTCGGTCTTTTGCTCCCGTCTTGTGACAGATTTCGTCAGTCGGAGCCTTTCCTGGCCTGATCCCTGTTAACGCCCCTGTTAACACAGGCCAGCAACGTTCCTGTTAACACAGGCCTTTCAGTTCTCACTGCTTCCACCTGCCCTTGGAAACTCTCTTCTCCTCGTCTCGTTGCAGGTGGTACGAGACCAGATCTCTCACTGCACGGTCAAGCTGCGGCAGACCACGGGCCTGATGGAGTACTGCCTGGAGGTCATCAAAGAGAACGACCCCAGTGGGTTTTTACAGGTGGGTGTGCGGCTTTTCACTTCCAGGGGTCTTCGCGCTAAACAGCTGGGCTGGCTGGGAGCGTGAGTGACCGCAGATCCCAGAGGCCACGTTCACCCCTGCCCTGACTGGGGTGAAGTCAGCGGAGCTACACCACGGAGGAGCACAACCCCAGATCTTTAGGTCAATTGGTCCATCAGGAATATCTGAAAATTGCACACTGTTTTATTGGTAAGCATAAGAACATAAGAACGGCCACACTGAGTCAGACCAAAGGTCCATCCAGCCCCGTATCCTGTCTGCCAACAGTGGCCAGTGCCAGGTGTCCCAGAGGGAGTGAATCAAACAGGTAATGATCAAGCGATCTCTCTCCTGCATCCATCTCCACCCTCTGACAAACAAATGCTGGGGACACCATTCCTTACCCATCCTGGCTAATAGTCATTAATGGACTTAACCTCCATGAATTTATCTAGTTCTCTTTAAACCCTGTTATAGTCCTAGCCTTCACAACCTCCTCAGGCAAGGAGTTCCACAGATTGCGCTGTGTGAAGAAGAACTTCCTTTTATTTGTTTTAAACCCGCTGCCCATTACCAGTAGCTTCATTTGGTGGCCGCTAGTTCTTATATTATAGGAACAAGTAAATAACTTTTCCTTATTCATTTCCTCCACACCACGCATGATTGTATAGACCTTTATCACATCCCCCTTAGTCTCCTCTTTTCCAAGCTGAAAAGTCCCAGTCTCTTTAATCTCTCCTCATAGGGGACCCGTTCCAAACCCCTCATCATTTTAGTTGCCCTTCTCTGAACCTGTGTACATACACATGCATGTGCATGAGTGTGTATATGTAGATGCAGAGATTGTAATAATCCCATATATACAGGTCTAAAAATACTTGTAAAAGACTATTCAAGCTGTACATCACTCCCCATCCCCTTCCTGCCACCAACATAGGAGCCTTGTCAGGGGCCTCAGCAAGGAGAGGGGACACAGCCAGCATGCTTCTGCTCTCTTGTGTAACAGGTCCTACTGCTAACAGCAAACATAAGGTTGCTCTCCCTTGTGCCATGGGCTGATGCAGGCTCAGGGATTTGTAGTGTGGAGAAGAGGGCTCCAAGTGAGCATACAAGATTGTGCTCAGTACAAGCACAAGCAAGGGAATCTAGGAAGATTTTCTTCCTGCCAATTTCAGCCTAGAATAGGAACAATGTTAAGAGGGTTCCTTAGTATTTGGGGGCCCAGTTCTCCTCCCCTGGAACGTAGCAGCTAAACTCCCATGAGCTGTAGCATGAGAATTAGACCCGGTATTAGCTGTGTATGTCTAGAGATCTTATTAACGAAGGCCGAGTAAGGGAGACACATCCCTGTGCCAGCTGGTCATGAGAAATGCAGAGGCACTCGCTGTGAGACAGGCCCTGATGGCCTTCACCCACATGAGTAGCACTTTTCTCTGTGGGTGATCTCAGTGGCACCGTGCCAAATTACTCCTCGTTGTGAGCGAGCACATCAGGAACGGGCTCTCTGTAAGGAGAAAAAATCTTATGCGGATGGTGGAGAGAAGCAGGCGGAGAAGGCTGCGTGTAAGGTAGGAAGCAAAACAGGAATGTTTTGAGAAAGAGCTGTATGTTTCCGCCTGTGAGAAAACTGCCTTATACGGACACTGGGCGAGGAGTTTGGAGGAAGATTCTTATTGCATCTCTAGAATAAATATTACAGCACGCAGCCCTAAGGTACCTTATGGGTGCATCTAGACTGGCAAGATTTTGCCCAAAAGCAGCTGCTTTTGCGCAAAAACTTCCCAGCTGTCTACACAGGCCGCTTGAATTTGCGCAAGAGCACTGACTTTGTAATGTACAAAATCAGTGCTTCTTGCGCAAATACTTTCACGCTCCCGCTCGGGAAAAAGCCCTCTTGTGCAAGAATACTTGTGCAAGAGGGCCAGTGTAGACAGGGAAGAACTGTTTTGCGCAAAAAAGCCCCGATGGCTAAAATGGCGATCAGGGCTTTCTTGTGCAAAATCGCATCTAGACTGGCCACGGATGCTTTTGCGCAAAAGCACTTTTTGCACTAAAACATCCATGCCAATCTAGATGCGCTTTTGCGGAAATACATTTAACGGAAAAACTTTTCCGTTAAAAGTATTTCCGCAAAATCATGCCGGTCTAGATGCAGCGTAATGGGATACAAACACCCTAGGGATGTAATAGTGTAGTTAATTAACTGATTCATCAATAAGCAAAAGCTTATCGGTTAATGCTATGGACTGCACACATACCCTCTGCCCCCTGCTAGTAAATTTTTTAGCAGGCTGGTCAGCAGCCTGGCTTAGTCCTGGCTTGCAACAGGTCTGGGATCTACCTCTGCTGCAGCTCTGCATTTAAAGCGTATTAGGAGCCAGGCTGGCAGCCTGGCTCAGTTCTGGCTCACGCCAGATTCGGGAATTCAGCCCCTAGACAGGGGCTGCTGCCACCCTGCACTGCTGCCTCTGTATCAGAGACAGCAGCACAAGGTGACAGGCAGCTGGTCCACGAGGGGAGCTGGTTTTTCAGCTGTCTCCACTTGTGGACCAGCTCCGGCCTGGCACCCCGCACCGCTGCCTCTGATACAGAGGCATCGGCATGGATTGGCAGGGGGCTGCTTGGGAGTGGGGCCGGGGGTCACTGGCTGCCAGCCCCGCCCCTAGGGACTATAGAATAGTTGAGTAGCCTATAAGGATTCACCAGGTTAATCGACTATTCAATTAACCGATGTTTAACAGCCCTAAGACGCACTCGGTGGCTCGCAAGAACAATAGCAGTTCATAAGAATGCGATCGGGCTCCTAGTGCAGCCAGTGAAATCTTTCCACTGACATCTCTGGGCATGGGGTCGTCTCCGTAAGGTGGGACTGACTCACTTGACCTACGAGGCTCGGTAGCTCCAGATACGTGAGTCGGTTCTGCTTTGAGTCATTTCCAAAGCGGCACCTAAAACAAAGGGCTTTGCCAGCGCCGTTGGGTGCCTTCCTGGCCCAACAAAGTCAATGGCGAAACGCAAGCCATTATGAAACTGTCGCGATGCCAGAACTCCACCTGGGCAAGCCTTTGGGGTCAGGCCCTGCTGAGTGTTACCGTCATCAGGCACCATCTCTCCCTATAGCACGCCCGCCAGAGTGGCGTGTCATAGCCGAGGCTGTGGTCTTCCTTGCCATCAGATTTCCGACGCGCTGATCAGGAGAGTGCACTTGACCGAGGACCAGTGGGGGAAGGGGACGCTGACCCCACGGATGACCACTGACTTTGATTTGAACCTGGACAGTGCCCCTTTGCTGCAGTCCATCCACCAGCTCGACTTTGTGCAGATGAAAGGTAAGAGCCTGTCCACAGGCCATGTACAAACCCCCCTCCTCGTGCTCACCCCAATCGCTGGCTTTAGTGAAAAACACAAGGGGGCAAGAAACGGGAGCGAATTTCATCTGCGTCGGACTTGTTTTTTTAAGATACTTGTTTCGTTCCACATCAAAATTGAGAAGGCGGGTTTAAAACCTCAGAGGCGATCCTGTCCTGAGCTGAGGTGCCAGGTTCAGTGCTCAGCTCTGCCTGGGTGGAGGCAGGCCGTTGCTCTGTGCCTCAGTTTCCCAGCAGTGACATAGGGATAATCTTTCCTTTCTGTCACCCTGTGTGTCTCATGAGAGGGTAGGTTTCCGGAGGGAAGCACTGTCTCTTGCTCAGGGTGTGTGTGTGGGCTCCAGGATGGATCTGAGAGACGAGTGTGTTCCAGGCGCAGGCTGGAAAGGGCATGGCAGGACAGGGATGGGGAAGGTGTTTCGTCCCTGGCACAGTCCAGCGGAGTCTCCTGTAGAGGTGGGTGGGACAGGTAGCCTAGTGCCCAGCCGGGCACGTAGAACGACCCTCCGCGGGCACAGAGGGATGGACGTGACCAGGCCGAGTTCCGATCTGCGACCTCAAAGGCTGGCGTAATCCTCCTCCACGCAGCCTGGCGCCAGCGCGCCTTCGGCAGCGCCCCGGGGGAGGAAGCGCCATTGCAGGTCTTCGGAGCCCGGCTGAGCCGGGAGGCGACTCGCCAGTGCGGGCTCCCAGGATTGCCTGGCCTCTGGGCACGATGAGGGGGCAGCTCCGTGCTCCCAGAAGGGGCTGGACCTCCGGCAGGAGGGGCAGGGCTGGAGCAGCCGGCCCTCAGCACCACCTGGACCAGCCCCCCAACCCTGGAGCTGTCCAGAGATTTAAAAGGCCTGAAGCTCCAGCTGCCGCTGTACAGTACAGCAGTACAGCAACAGCGGCTGGGAGACCCAGGCCCCTTTCAGTCACCGGACTCCAGGGCGGTTGCCCCCTTGGGCCCTTCCCCCCCGCCGGTGGGCCTGCTTGTGGCCCAGAGAGCGGCTGCCGCCCTACAGATGTGGGAGAGCGTCCTAGGCTGAGCTACTGGGTCAAAGGGAGAGCAGGTCAGAACTGAGGTGCCGGGCAGCGGGCACTCGGCAGCCGCAGGTCAGGAGCACACGGCTGGGAAAGGCCAGCGTCTCCGAGACCAAGCGATAACCCCCAGGGAGGCTGCTGCCGACGTCAGCCCCACGGCTTAGCTCTCCCGGGTCCAGCGCCTGGCTGCTTTGACCTGCTCCTCTGGGGCCGGGGCCATTCTCAGGGCTGCTGAGAATTCCCTCGATAGCTAAGCACTGCCATGTCCACATGGCTTCCCTTTCCCCTTTCCCCTGAGTTCTGTTTCCCTTTCCTGCCTCGTATCTTTTTCCTTTGCCACCCTCCCGATCTCCCTGCCCATCTCCACCTGCCCCGCGCAGCGCCTTGATCCCTGGGCTGTCCCTTTGCTGTGCTGTTCTTTTACAGGGAGCTGGGCCGGCCCACAACATTTGGCACCTGAGGTGGGGAGCTCAAATGACGCCCCCTCGCTTGGGCCAAAACTTTGAAAGGTCTCAATTCTCTGGGTCCTAGTGGTTCCCCTCCTCCCCCCAGCCTGGCACCTGAGGCGGCCTCCTCAGTTCGCCTCATGGTAAGGCCGGCCTTGCCGGGAAGCCGTGCAGCGGAAGGACCCAGCCGAAAAAGCTGCCAAGCCACCGGTGGCGGAGAGGCGCCTGTAAACGGTGCCAGCTGCAGCATTGCTGCCAGCCTGTGGTGCGGGGGCCCTTGCGAGAGGGAGAGACACGGCGCTGGGCATTTGTAGGTGGTGTCGGCAGCTGGAGGCCTGGTCTGCCCCCCGCTGTCGGGTAACAATGTTCTGCTACGGAGGGAATTCAGCCATGTGGCCCTGCTGGGCCCAGTCCGGACAAGAACCTCGGAAACCCTGGAATTGCCCCAAACGCAAACCCGCCCTACTCCCAGGCTGTGTCTCCACTACATCCCTTCTCTCGATGTAAATTAGACACTTCGAAATTGTAAACCGCATTTTTTGAGGAGTACGGGGTCTTTCGAAAAAGGGTTTTCTTTCCGAAAGAGCCCCGTCTAAATAGCCGTTTTTCTTTCGAAAACCACATTTCGGAAAAAAAAACCACGGCTGCCATTATGCAAATGAGGCGTGGGAAATGTAAATCCCGGCTTCATTGGCAATTTCGAAGTGTCTAATTTACGTCCCTTTGTCAAGAAAAGAGATGTAGTCTAGACACCGCCCCAGTGCACAGTCTGCATGTCAGTGGAAGAGCAGCAGCAACACACGGGCCTCGCCTACCCACTGAATTATACCACGGTGGGGGGTTGGGCCTTGTGTCTAGGGCACTGGTTGCCCCAGACCCAACGCCCCTTTTGGGACGGCCTTGACCCAGAACATTTACTCGCCCTACATGAGCCCAACTGAAACACACATTCATCTCTTGCCACATGTGGCTCACCACACCTATTGCGGCAACACGCCGCCCTGAATTACGGCTCCATCATGTTTCGCCCTCGGGACGATCTGGTGCCCAGCCACAATGACAACAGCCTGACTCACCACTCCCCTGTCTAGCGATACACTGGTGTCCTTCCGTGAACTTGCCTGGTGATAACCGGGGGTAACCCAGAGACAAACTAGACCCTCCGTTTCCACTGATGTTGCCACCGGTGGCTGTGTTCTCACCCAGCCGTGATCATGTCAGTCCGTCTGCAGCTGGACTCTCTGAGTACATCAGGAAGGTGCTCCCGTGGCCCTCCTGGTCTTTGGTTATGCCGTGGTGAGGGGTGGGTGAGGTACGGGAGCACGCTCTCAAAGGTACAGGCGTGGCGCTGTGTTTTCACACTCATGTAAAATGTATAATGAAGACCATGTAAGGAAAAAGGAGGCAGCCTCAGTAAAATTTCAGGTTGACAAGCTGATAGAAACCCAAAATTCTGCAAATCTACTCATGGGAAGGAAGTTCAGAAAATTATTTCTTCTTGTTTCTCCGTATCTCAGTGTGAAATGCAGGCTGGGCGACAAGCTGATAAACATGGTCTCCATCGATTGGAGAATGTGTGCATGCATTTCCATGCCTCGCAGCAATTTGAGTGCCCTTGCTATGCCCCCGTGTCCACTTTGGTCGTAGAAGCCAGGGTTACACTAATTTTTGTTTAGCTTCCTCTCCAGTGCCGGCACCCCCGATCCTACAGCTAGAAGAATGTTGCACCCACAACAACAGCGCCACATTGTCCTGGAAACAGCCCCCTCTATCAACGGTGCAGGTGGAAGGATACATTCTGGAGCTGGATGACGGGAACGGTGGTCAGTTCCGGGTAGGTATTGCGAACGTCGGTTCTGTTTCTAACACGCACCTTGGAGCTGAGGACAATGCCAGTGATGTGGGAGCCGCGGCAGGACTGTTGCTGGTAGACAGGAAGCAGGCTTACCGTCTGCAGCGATACACTGCCCCTGCCTTATAGAATCATGAATACCTTTCGCCTTGTGTCGTGATGCACACGGGTATAAACGATTCCCCAAGGTGAAAACCAGTGGGAAATCAGGCCAGTTTGGCATTGTTTGTAGAAGAGTTTATTTCTATACAGTATCATCCTCCCCTGGATTTGAACTGAATCTTTCACTTTTTGTCAACAGCTTCAGTCCTGTTTCTATGACTATTTTTATTATGAGGGACCTGGTGCAAAAACCACAGGGTGGTATTCTCTGCCCTGTGGGATGCAGGAGATAGTCAGATTGGTCCCTTCTGGCTGTACGAGTCTGTGACTCTGTGAATGGAGAACACAGCTGCTAACTTTGCAGGGGGAAGCTGTTGTAAGCACCAGGTTCAGAGACTATGGAAACCATCAGCCAACAACGCCGTGACGGAAGGCACCGTACAGTCACCTTGTTGCAGTGACTGGGGATAGATGATGATACAGGGCCATACCCATCCTACAAGGGTACAGTGGCAACAGCAGGACCCCGCAGAGATGTGGCCTCCTGTGGCAACTTCCGTTGTTCAGCTGTTGGAGTCACTCGCTATGACCATACCCATCAGGTTCCCTCTTGGGGGAGCTCTGTCTCTCTCCAGTTTTCATGTCAGACATTGTACCTAATTCTCTCCCTCGCTTAGAAGCGGCCCTCCCGTGGCTGAAGAATTTACATGACGGTTACCTCTCGCGAGGGCCCCCTCTCTGGCCGAGTGTGTGTGCCTGCACTCTCTGCTCTTCCTAAAGCCTCTTCCGCAACTCAGCCCTCCGGCCGAGTCCCACGCCCTGTGTGCAAAGCACAAAGCCCTTCCGAGGTACACACCTAACAGGCCCATCGTCCTCTGTAGCGTCCTTCTGAGTCTGTTCCACACTCTGGCAGGGCTTTATCTCAGAGGCTGGTCATAGTCCAGTCTTCAGTAGCTCTCCACAGTACTGCCCCTCTCTCTATGATTCTATGATAAGGGGATGGTTTGAGAACATGATCTTGGTAACTAAGGGTATGTCTACACTATCCCCCTAGTTCAAACTAGGTGGGTAATGTAGTCATACGGAGTTGCAAATGAAGCCCGGGATTTGAATTTCCCGGGCTTCATTTGCATAAAGGCACCGTTCCCTAGCAACCCCCCCTCGCCGGATGCAGTGCAGGTCCTGGCAAACCCATCACAGGGGCATACTCCCAACCCAATCCCCCTCCCCTCTCCTCCACTTCCCTTCCCCAGAGCCAAACACCTCCCCTCCCTGCTGTAACCCAGTCCCCTTTCTCCCCCAACCTTATGTCCTGGTCCCAACAGACACCACCGCTTGAAACGCAACCCCCACCTTTTCCATTATTTGCAACGGGAAAATTGACCCCGCATAACACGTTTTCACTTAACACGATCATTTTCTGAAACATACCTATAGTGTTAAATGAGGAATTACTGTAGCAGAGGCCTTATGAGAACACAGACCTCTACACAGGAGAAACTTGACCTTCCTCTGTAGCATGGGACACAGATCACAGCTGGAGGATTCTCTGCGTCTTGGGGCTTCAAAGTATTTGAAGGCTTCAATATCTGAGACATAGGTGAGAGGATTATTCTAAGAGGGGTGGGTGAGATTCTGTGGCCTGCACTGTGCAGGGGGTCAGACTAGATGATCATAATGGTCCCTTCTGACCCTAAAGCCTATGAGTCTCAGCCAGCTAGTCTCCCAGGCTGCGTATCTTGAAGTCTAGAGACACTGACTGTTGTGTGGCCCTGCAGCTTTTTTTATAGGGCCTTCCTGGCCCCTGATTGGCTGCTTCCTCTGTTGCCACTCTAGCCTGCTTGAAGGACTTCTCTACTGCCTTTAGGGGCAGGGTGTGGCAGGACCACAAGGCCGCCAGGAGGCGGCCTCAAGGCCTGATCTACCCTGTCTCAGTTATACTCAGGATATGTCTAGACTACATGCCTCTGCCGACAGAGACATGTAAATTAGACATACCGACATAGTCAATGAAGCAGGGATTTAAATAGCCCTCGCTTCATTAGAATAAAAATGGCCACTGCGTTGTATGGCCACTGCGTTGTGCCAGCTCAGCTGTTTATCAGCTCAAAGCGGCAGTCAAGACGGGGATCGGTCAACAAGGAAAGCCGTTGTCAACTGATCCCTTATGCCTCGTGAAATGAGGTTTACAGGATCGATCGACAACGGCTTTCCTTGTCGACTGATCCCTGTCCTGACTGCCGCTTTGAGCTGACAAACAGCTGAGCCGGCACAATGCAGCGGCCAGTGTTATTCTAATGAAGCGGGGAATATTTAAATCCCCGCTTCATTGACTATGTCGGTATGTCTAATTTACATGCCTCTGTCGGCAGAGGCATGTAGTCTAGACATACCCCTTGTGACGGACCGGGCCGTGTCTGGGCACAGCTGAGGGCGTCCGCTCAGGGCGAATTGCTCGAATCCGGGGCTTCTTACAGCCCCCGACTGGTGACCTTTCCACACAGGCCACAAACCAGTCTCACAGAGCGCTTCAGCAACCTGCCTGAAGCCTCCCAAGCAAAACCCCTCCGACACCCCAGCATATCCGTGCCCCAGATGGCCCCGGGCCTATACACGGGTGGGGGGTCCTAGCACCCAATCCCACCTACCCCG